CTTAAACTGTCTCACTGCAGATAGTAAGAAAGTTCATCTCTCCTGTTAGCCCTACTGAGACTTTTCTTATAGAAGTGAGAACTGGTTGTGGGAACCACATGGAATCAGCTTTGCTCTGACTCCATAGATGCCATCCTAGTAAAAGCAGGGCACTGACTCATGTTGCCTCATTACAGACCTGAGGGGTGAAAGTTTATCTCTTCAAACTCACACTATCTGGTTGCTACATGAGTGTGTAAGGTGGAGTTTCCTCAGGATCCACTGACCCTATTGCAGAGGAGAAATTGGAGCACTGACTGCTTCTGTTGAGCAAAGAGGAGTTGGGATGAGATCCACAAGCAATTCTTTGTTTAGTTTTGCTGAAATGGTGGGAGGCGGGGGAGTGATTGGTATTTGTTTTAAATAGGACACCAATTGCCAAAGTTGATTTCTGTTATCAGATTAACCTTTTGTTGTACTTTATCTTGAAGTTTTCTGTTTGTCATTTATCTCTCTTTCTTGATAGTTCTAGGTTGGACACTTCTGAAGTACCCTGTCTGAGATGGGAGGCAATAAGAAAATCCAGGGTGCATACCTCTGTGTCATTTCTGAAATCCTGAAATACTTAGCCAGTCTACCTCCTTTCTGCCTTCAAGTCTTCATATTTGTTGTGCTCGTCTATGATGGTTTAAAGTGGTAAGACAGAGAAACTTAGAGGAATGGTGCTACTTTATTTGATAGAACCAAAATGTTATGTATATATAAACATATTGTGTATAAATTATGCAATATATACTATATTTAGCATATATATATGTTATTTATTTATTTATGTTAATTGACAAAGGGGATGTATGCTCATGAGAGGGACAAAGAGAGAATCCTGTAGTGGGCCCTGATTACACCGCAATCTTTTTTCTTCATGTAGTCACCCTGTCTGGATTCTGTGTATGCATGCACACATGCTTAGCATATTTCTCAAGCTGTTGCAGTCAGCCACTTCAGATGCTGCTCCAAACATACCATGTTTAACCGCTGTGTTAACCACTAAATGATATATTTGAACCATATATTTCAGATAGAGTTCTAGGTTGGCAAGGTTTATATTTTACTTATTGTCTTTCCCAAGCAATTTCATAATGTTCTTCCTTTATTTCTGACATGAAGTCAGCAACAGTTCGTTTTTTTGTTGTTTGTTTTTTTTTTCTTGAAAGTAATGTTATTTTTCTCTGGTGGTTTCTAAATATTTTATCTTTGTCTGATTTATATTTTTTCTTCAGATTACTCTAGAAGAATGTGTGTGTGTGTGTCTGCGGTGTGTGCACGTGTGCACGCACCCGTGGTTTCATTCTCCTATATTTTAAGAAAATTGATTTGGTCAGTCTGATCCCAGGTTCTCTGACACATAGAATTAAAAATAGGTGGGACTAGCAGATGGCATAGTGGTTACATCACTGGACTCCCACACGGCCAACTGCAGTTCGCATCCCAGACCCAGTGGCTTGAAAATCCTGCCGGCGCATGTGCATGGGTGCCCAAGATCAAATGGAGAAGTGATTACAACATGGTCATTCTCCCTGGAGGGGTGATTTCTCACTTTCCCTCTCTCTGTCTCTGACTCTCTCCCTCTCTCTGTCTCTGACTCTCTCTCTATCCCCAGCAAGTGCACATCCTAAGGTAAAAAAAAAAACTATTGAAAAAAAAAGAATTCAAAAGTAGATGAACTATCCAAAAAGCTCACGCTGTACTCATAAATGTGTACAATTATACATTAATTTTAAACATGGTATGTAGTCATTAAAATGATGATTGTCTACTTGAAAGATGCTGAGAGTAGACTTTACATGTTTTCATCACAAAAAAAGTCATGTGTATGAGGTAATAGGTTGTCAGTAAGGTTTATTTAGTCATTCTACGATGCATATATCTCTCAAAACAGCAACTATGTCATAAATGTATACAATTTTAATTTTTAGTTAAAACAATACAGGATTTGGGGAACCAGCAGTTAGCGTAATGGCTATGTCGCTGGACTCCCACGTAGTCGACCGCGGTTCGTGTCCCGGACCCGGTGGCTTAAAACTCACGCCAGGCGCGTGTGCGTGCGTGCCCAAGATCCCGAGAGGAGAATGGAGGAGAAGGGATTGCGGCGTGACCATCCCCCCTGGGGGGTGATTTCTCGCTTTCTGTCTCTATGTCTCTCTCTGTCTGTCTGGCGAGCGCACGCGCCCTACAGTGAAAATCTCTCAAAAAAAAAAATACAGGATTTTAAAATGATGATTAAAATGTTTAAAACAGAAAAAATGAGTTAAAATACTAATTTTTATGTCTCTCTCTTTTTTTAATTTGCTTGAGCGCATTCACACTCACCAGTGAGAGAGAGAGAGAAAGAGAGTAAGAGAGAACAGGTGAGAAAGCATCTTCCATAGGCGAATGGTCACACTGAAATCCCTTCTTCTCTATTTGTCCCTCCTTTCAGGATTTCGTGCATGCATGCACACATGGCGAGCATGTTTTTCAAGCTGTCAGGTCCATGAGTCCATGACTCAAACCATGCAGTTAGCCGTGTGGGATCCAGCCTCCTTAACCACCACATCACCAGCTGGCCCTAGGTCTATGTTTCTTAATTTGATATTTTTCTAATTAATGTTAAAGAAATAAAAGACAATTTTATTACTATTTATAAAAATATCTTTCCTTGTAAATATGTAAAAAATTAAATCTTTCGAATATTTTATTATATATCAATACTAAATATCATATAATTAATGAAAATATAAATAGAATGTAAATCACATTCGATGAGTTACATTACTGAAAATATAATGACCACAAACGTAATAAATGGAAACAGAAAGGACTTACATATCAGAAGAGGAAAAGTTGTGTAATGGGATGTAAATATGTTGTAATCAGAATGCACCGATAGTGATAAAAAGCACTTACTGTTTCAAAAATAGCCATCGTATAAAATTGATATAATATACATGCAATTCTGACTTCGTATTTATGGACCACATTTTACTTCACATATGCCTAAATATAAATATCCATTTGTATTATATATTCATAGTAAATGAAACTTTAGAATAAATATAAAATAATTTTATACTAATACTAATCTGATTTTTAATATACACCTTTCATCTTTATATTATATGCATAACCTCACATCTTTAGGAAAATACTTTCAGATAAACCCAAATATGGATACATTTTATTTATTTATTCAATAATTTTTTCTTTTATTCTTATCTAAGCTTTCTAACTTAAGTATCAGTCATGTCTCTAACACTTAGAAATGTCTTTAAAAATACATGTTTGTTTTCTATTTTGGTAGCCTCAACTCTCTCACAGTACAAGCACCAAGGATGAACTGTGGGAGGCTTGGTAGCTAAATATCTTTCCTAACTAACTGTACTTTGAGGGCAAACATTTAACTTTATGTTCCCCAATTCCTTCATTGGAGATTTAAGAGTTAAGGGAAAAAAAAAACTTTAAAATGAGATACAAAGACAAGTGAAAAGAAAATTTAAACAATTAATGTTTTTTATTGTTATGGACACTGTGTGCTCACCAGAGGAAGAGAGAGAGAGAGAGAAAAAGAGAGAGAGGTTGCACCATGGTCTCTTTTCCTTCATTTTCCCATCCCGTCAGGATTTGGGACAGGCTTGCTTACACTCACAATGTGTTTTCAGTTCTCCAGGACTAGAATTTGAACCACAATCAGTCACATACATAGGATCTGGCTACCTTTAACCACTAGACTATGGGGCTGGCAAAAATAATTAATTTTTAAAGTTACTTTGTATATGACAAGAAACATAAAATTGTTTATATTTTTAGGTATTTACACTAATAAAAATCTATCCCAAATAACTAATTTGACATTTAGATATTTGAAAGTTTATAATCACACAAAGTGCACATAACTCCTTTTATAGCAGATAAGATACAGAGGCAAATAACAGTTCAATGATACTACTGCACAAAATGCATACAATCATATGTGATCGATAAATGATGAAAATGAAATAGTAGTGGTAAGATAGATAATAATGACAAAATATTTGGTGATCCAAATACTATAGGGACATGATGTTGGAAGGTATAACTTAAAAGTAAATAAGAGAAATAACCATAAATTCACAGGAGGTATGAATCAATAATTAATATTTTCGATTTCTTGAAATATTCTTCATAGTGATTCTGTTATTTTGATAAAAAATAAATAAATATGGTATATAAAATAAGTTCATGTAAAACCTGCTTACTCACTTGGAATTACTTATTTAACCTCTATAGTTAAGAACATAGTGGGACCAGCAGTTGGTGTAATGACTATGTCACTGGACTCCCATGTAGTCGACCGCAGTTTGAGTCCCAGACCCGGTGACTTAAACTCATGCCGGGCTCATGTGCATGTGTGCCCAAGATCCTGAGAGGAGAATGGAGGAGAAGGGATTGCAGCATGGCCATCCCCCCTGGGGGTGATTTCTTGCTTTCTGTCTCTCTCTGTCTTTCTGGCAAGTGCACGTGCCCTATAGCAAAAAAATATCCAAAAAAAATAGCAGACATTAATAGCAAAAAACTATCAAAAAAAAAAAAAAATAGCAGACATCTTTAATTTTTTAAGTAAATATCTAAAAGTTTGTGCATTTGCTGTGTTGAAGAAAAGGATATATTGCTGGTATTATTTTAAAATATGGAGTAAAATGGGTCAGCCCCATAGTCTAGTGGTATAGAGAGCCAAACCCCCTAAAACTGACCACAGTTTGAATACTGGCCCCAGAGGTTTGAAAAATACACCACACATGCCCAAAATTCTGATAGGATGGAGAAAAGAAATAGAAGGGATTGTAGTATGACCACTCCCCTGAGGGAGAGAGGGTGCTTTCATCCTCTTTCTCTCTTTGTGTCTCTCTGGTGAGTGTACATGTCTTATGACAAATGAAAATAATGTTTTAAAATAGAATATAATAAGGAGAAAATAACAAAATAAAAGCATGAAAGTCACATACTTGGATGCTCAAAACTGGTGGTTCCTTCTGTTTCAGGTACTTCTGATGTTCTCTGCCCCTGGGATGGAGAGTGAACGCGCAACACAGAATACGTCACACTTTCTTCTTCCATTTCTGAGAAGCAGAAATGTTTTAAAAGTCACACAAAAGCTCTATTGTAAATCCTTGGACCCTAGAAATGCTATCATTAAAATAGATGGTGTATAGAGATATCGTTCTTATTTAGCCCAATAAAAGGTTGGGAGTTGTTCTTATTTAGCCTAATAAAAGATTGGGAGCTTCTTTTAAATTAGAGAATATATTTAAGAATATGTACTTTACTTGAACACAGCAAATGCACAAACTTTTACATACAAAGACAACTATAATCTTCCCAACTTTAAAATATTCTACCAATACAGATCATTGAAGTATACAAATATTTAGAAAGTACGTTGTTATGAAATACAATTTCATGACTCTATCTCAAATATTCTTTTTTAAAATCACAAGTTGACGCATGTTGAGTTATTTGATAATCATTGCAAAATGAATAAAAGTTCAAACAAATCAAAAAAGGTCCGATGATGACAATCCTCCCAGTTTCACCTCACCTATACATTTTGCAGACTTTATGTTCCATAGAATCTACCTTCATGTTCACAAAATCTTCTTGATTCCTTCCTTTAATCATGGTCTTCTCTGGCCACTTTCATGCTTCTTGTCAGGCTCTTCTCTCTTGCTGGTGTGTATATTTTTCTTCACCTATATTGGTCTACCATCCTCAGGTAATTACTGAAAATATTATTTAAGTCCTACTTTTTTAAAGCCAACTTTATAAATATCTCAACAAAAATTCATCTTTTCTCCCCATGAACACTTCAGGCTTTTTATAGTTCTATTTTATAATCATCTTCTGTTTTTCTTTGTGCTGCGTCTTTTCACTGAGATATACTCTGAGGACACAAGTTACATCTTACCCATTTTGTTATTGCCATAGTAAGTTCTTAAATTGATGTGTGTACTTCAGAATCCCAATAGCTTGAGGCTTATCTTAAAATTTTATTTGTTTAGTATATTGTAGTTCAAATTTAAAAACTAAAAATATTTCAAAGGAAGCTTTGAGAATGTTTTAATTCCTAAATAGTTCATGGCTATTTGAAGTAGTACTGAAAGTGTAAATCCAATACTGGGTTTTCTAAGCTATTCCCAATAGAGTTTTGATTCACTATCTCCAAGTGTCTTTCATATGAACATTATGAATTCATTCCTAGCTTTCTTTGATAGTCTTATCTCTGATGATTGTCATAAAAAGTGCAATACCGATCTATTATCTCTCACTCTATTGGTCTGAATTTGTACTTCCTCATTTATAAATCTTTTGATTCAACTTATTTTTATTCCACCATTTATAAATCTTTTGATTCAACTTATTTTTTATTCTTTTTGATTTACAAATAAACTATTCATTAAATAAATTAATAACTTAAAAATAATAAGTACCTGATTTTTAGAGAAAGATGCGAGGATCGTTGCAGAATGTATTTCCTGAGGAGTCCAAACTCTTGGGACAAAAGGTCTGAATTTAAGAATTTTTGGTGATCTTTGGCATAAAGTCCAAGGCCAGCATTAAAGAGAAAGCAAAAAATGCATAGGCTAATGTCTTTATAAGTCTGTTTTATACAAGAAATTAACAAGTGAGCACAAAATGTAAGAAGGAGACCTCTCTGGATGCAACCACACAGGAAGCCCTTACATTTGAAAGCATCATCAGGGTGGGGCCTTTCATCAGTCTGACATTTAAAATACCTAGTACATCTGCAATAAGGATAAAAATGTTTCACTCAATTCTTGAATTTTCAGACTTAGTAAAATACAGGTAATTGTCTATGGGGAAAGAAATTCACTTCTACCACCATCTCTCTCAGTTCTCTACAGTGTATAAATATCGCTACTTTCAATTGTTACAGGAGTTGGCACCTTCAAAGTAATGTTTGTGATGTCAGTTTTGGTCTCTTCCAGTTGAAAACTAGTATTGCTATTTATGTATATGTAAATGTGATTGGTCTTTCTCAGTGCAACACAGCTTCACAACTGTTTTGCAACTTGTGATCTTTCTTAAAAGTCAGTCACCATGAAGCAAAGTCACCTGAAAAGAATTTTTCTAATAAATGAGTTATTAGTCACATTCATATGTATATTATACTCTCCAAAATAATTATGTTCGCATTATATTAATTTATGTCATTGTATGCACTTATTCCATCTTTTGCTATTTTAGTATTTGTATTCTTTTCTTTCAATCACTTGGAAGCTTGAAAAGCTTCTGAAATCATAATCAATCAGTAGTAAGTGAATTTTCCTTCAAGCTTATGAAATTGAGCAGAAATAAACCCTCTATATATAAATGCATATGGAAGAAATGTGCAATAGAATACTTGTGAACAAACTACCACAAGAAAACCATGAGATGAATATTCATATAGTTCTCCAATTTTTCTATTGGAATTAAGTGTCTCCTACATGAAATGAAAATTGTGCTAATATATGTGCACATATTTTCACAGTCTCTTTTAGCATCATTTGACATTTAAAATGTTAATGAAATTTAATGTATCTGTCTTTCCAGTAAAATTCAGGGTTTTTTAATTCTCCACAGAAAGACTGCTTGATCCTTTACCTCTCAGTGAACCTTTCTTAATCAGGAAAGGGCTGAATAGAAAACTTATAAGGTCTCAATAAATTAGCATTCTAAAAGTTTAAGCTGAGGTGATTATGTCCTTAATGTATGTATTTACTTTCTTATAGCCATTCCGTGCTATTCATTGAGAGTTTTAACCTACTATAGCAAAAAAAAAAAAAAAATGCATATCTAGCAAATTTTAATTCTGGATTAGTTAAAAATACACATGGGAAATGTATCATGCTGGATTAGCAATATAAAATCATCATAGCTGCAAATACTCCCAAAAATATATTTAAACAAACCTCCATAGGTGGGAACCAGCAGTTAGCGTAATGGCTATATCGCTGGACTCCCACGTAGTCAACCGCAGTTCGCATCCTGGACCCGGTGGCTTAAAACTCACGCCAGGCACGTGTGCGTGCATGCTCATGATCCCGAGAGGAGAATGGAGGAAAAGGGATTGCGGCGTGACCATCCCCCCTGGGGGGTGATTTCTCGCTTTCTGTCTCTATGTCTCTCTCTGTCTGTCTGGCGAGCACATGTGCCCTATAGAGAAAACCTCTCCCCCAAAATAGCCTCTATGTCTCTCTCTGGCTGTCTGGCGAGCACATGTGCCCTATAGAGAAAACCTGTAAAAAAAAAAAAAAAACTCCATAGATAATCAGAAAATGGCAGAAATCTTAATTAGCTTTATCTTAAGTGTTTTATCACAACTCCTAGGAGATATTTTATAGCATTATGTTCAATGGTAATTATTCCCTCAGTCATGAGATGACTCTGACCACATTTCTTCCACTTAAATATAAGAATATTATTGTCCAAATTAAATTTCTAATTAAATTCCTTTTGATTATATTAAAAATCAAATTGCAATATAAATTGGTAACAGAAAATAAATATATACATATATAATGTCATTTAAACTGGAAATATGTGTGTGTGTGTGTATATATATATATATATATATATATATAGTTATAAATACATGTAAAAAAACTATGAATATATATACTTATAATTTTTAAAAATCTTGAAGAGTGACATCAAGATGACAGAATAAAATGCTGTTTACCCTCCTTCCCATGGATACATCAATTCAACCAATAATTTATGGATGACTTATCATGTGATAAATTCAAAAACTAGTTGAATGTCTCAGTTACTGTGAAACTACCCTTTTTGAAGCCAGTGAAGAAATTCAAGACTCTACTGTAGTAACTCCTACCTTCAGTACCATGTCACAGGCTAAGAAGGGAACTCCCAAGCCTTTAGTTGGAGAGGGTACACAGCACATTCCTTGTCCCAGCTTTTCCAGAAGACACCCATAGCACTGGATTCTGTCTAACTCTCTCAGTACAGATGGAATCCAGCACAGTCTGGCCACCTGGAATCAGTGAGAATAGAGATGATGTAGTCTGCAATTGGCAAAGCTTCCTAGACCCTTCCCCTGGCTCATCACAAAGTGAGTGAATATAAAAGCCCCAGCTCCCAGCTTCTCCATGGGAGAGAAAATATCATCAGATGGTCCAACATTTCTAAGGGCAGCTCAAGAAATAGTTCTCCTCTTGCTTATCTTAGAGCATTGATAAAACTTGTAACATGTAGATGTCTGGGGACCACTAAGAACAAAGAAGGCTGATTGAACAAACACAAAGGTTGCAGAGAACCCCAAATTTTCTGGCCAGGTTTGTTGATGAACATCTTCCCTGTATGAGGCAGTCTATAAAGACTGAGAGAGGTGCTGTTTTGTTTAATGCACAAACTCAAATCAGAAAGTTTCATGAAGAAACAGGGAAATATATTTCAAATAAAGAAACAAGATAAATTACCATAAATCAACCCTAATGAAACAGAATTATTTGATTAACCTGATGAAGAATTCAAAACATTTGTCAAGAAGATGCTTATCAAAATAACAGAAACACATAAACAATTTGCAAATTTCAACAAAAAGAGAAAATATTGTTTAAAGTATAAGTAGGAATTGTGGAGCTAAAGAATAAAACAAAACTGAAATTTTTATTAAAGGGTTTTGACAGCAAACTAGATTAAGCAGGAAAAAAAGCATTAGCAAACTCAAGGACACGTTATTAGAAGTTACACAGAGAGCTTTTCTGCCAGTTTCCTCCTCTCCATCCCCAGTGCCATTCATGCTGCTTAGCACTTGCTGCAAGCTCCAGGCACCAGGCTCCACCATTGTCTCCCTCAGCAGGCATCATAATTATCTACCAGGACCACATCAGCCACGATGAGATGTTTTCTGAAATTTACTAGATCTGGGAGTTGTGTTTGGCTGTGCTGGAAGTGGAGAGAAAGATGGACGGTAATGATAACTCACTCACTGGGGGAAATGCCTTCACTAAGAGCCCTGATGGCAAAGGTACTAAAAGCACAGTGAGCACTGGCATTGACATTGCCGTTAACCATCACTTACAGGAAACCAGTTTCCCAAAAGTACCTACAAGAAGCACATCAAAAATTCCATGAACTTGATCAAAGGCGAAACCAGTTTCCCAAAAGTACCTACAAGAAGTACATCAAAGATTCCATGAACTTGATCAAAGGCAAACTTTGGCAGAGGGTGAGAGTAAGAAAACCAAGGGGGAAAAGAAAGAAGTAAAACATTTAAGAAAAATGGCAATATCTTGGATCAGTGTATTCTGAATGGGAAAATTCATTTTGCATGCTGTGATGATATACAGTGGATGAATGTAAAATAAATAAATAAAAATAAATTTAAAAATTTTTTAAATGAATGTGAGATAAAGATGTTCCTGGACAAGCAAAAGCTCCGGGAGGTTATTGTCACTTGAATTACTTACCAAAACTGTACATGAGAGAAGTCTGCAAATAGAAAAAAAAATTTATATTTTATATATGCATCATAATAGCATAAAAAGGTATAAAAATATGTAGACAAATGGAGAAAACTAAACTATCATTGTAATGTTAGTGAGTAAGAAACTTTTAATTCCAGTATAACAGTTAAGAGATTTAAGAAAGAAAGGTAATAGAGGGGAAGAAAACCTACAGTATGGGAGAAAATATTTGCAAATTATAAATCCAGCAAGTATTAAGTTGTAGAAAAAGTCATAGCTAATTTTTTCTGCTTTTCTATGCAAAAATGCATCATGACTTTTCCAAAAGCTCAATATTTAATACTTAAAACAGATAGAAGACTCCTATAACTCAATACCAAAACCCTCATGACCCAATTTAAACATGAACTAAAGACTTGAATAGATACTTCTTGATAAAACAACTCAAAGTGGTAAATGAATATATTCAAAGATGCTCAGTGTCATTCATCTTCAGGGAAATGCAAATTGTAGTGAGACATCACCTCTCTTCTGTTACAATGGCTATCATCAAACAAATAAAGACAAATGTTGGTTAGCATTTTGAGAAATTCTAACCTTGTGTCCCATTCGTAGAGATGCAAAATTGTGCTGTGGCTATGTAAAACAGTATGAAGATTCTTCAAAAAATTAAAAATAGAACTACTACATGATCCATCGATCCTACTTCTTAGTATTTATATAAAAGAATTAAAATAAAAAACTCAGATAGGGCTAGCAAGTGGTGTGGTGGTTAGGACGTCCAACTACCACATGGCAGACTGCCAGACCTGACAACTTGTCTCTCCCCCTCTCTCTCTCTGATGAGTGTGTGTGCCCTGCAGCAAGTTCAAAAAATAATAATACTGATAAATTAAATTAAATTAAATAATTCTAAAAAAACTCAAAGATATATTATTATTCCAGTGTTTATCATAAAACTATTCACAGTAGCTAAGATGTGGTACATTAATTGGAATATTGTTCAGCCTTAAAAATTAAATTTATTTGGGGCCAAAAGGTGGTATGATGATTAGGACACTGGATTCTCACATGGCTGACCACAGTTTGAGTCCCAGACCTGGTGGCTTGAAACTCACATGGGGCATGTGTGTGTGCATGCCCAAAATCCCAAGAGGAGAATGGA